TAGTGTGAAACACTGATAAGAGCTGTTAGGGACGGTCTATCAACTTCGTCTTTTCATATCTCGATTTGATACTACTTACATAGGGGAAATGGATGTAAAGTCGGCCTAAATGCCCCTGATTTGGGCCCATATATAAATTCAGCAATCGACTCAATTTTCAAAAGCGACCAAAAATTTACATTAGTACTATCTTAGATCCATAGGCCAACATAAGAGCCATTTCCACTATGTGATATAGTTTAATATAGTTATAGTTATAGTTTTAGCAACATCAGATTTATGATTAGTCATCAGAAATCTTTTTTTTCCCTTGATTTATTTTCTGTATCAATGCTACCGACACTAGGGAGGCAGCTTCCACACCTGGACCCTCCTCCCTATGGACCCGTCAACTCATAGATCGGGGACCAACGGCTTTACTTCCCTTCCGAAGGAAGGCGTGATCAGAGATTGTTTGCCTCAGAAAATCCCGGCGGCGCCGACTGGGATTGAACCCAGGCCTGCTGGGTTGGAAGGTAATCACGCTTACCACTACACCACCGGCGCCGCTTCATCAGTTAGAATTGTCTATAGTGTAACAAAAGTTCAGATAATGTCCCAAACCCTTCTTCATCTTTGGCTTCATTACGTTCCTACTGAGACTTTCCACCAGCGGAGACTGAGTGTTCTTAGAACACTTACACAGTTGTAAATTGAAAGCTTTCTACGCCTGTACCATTTTTGCATTTGTATAATTATGTGGCAGGCACTCGATAATACTAGAGGAAATTTCGGCTTCGGCAATACCTTAACCTATTATCGTCAGCGAATAAACAAAAACCTAGAGCACTCATACTTGACCAATAGATGCTCTGAAACACAATGTATCCACATGCCAAAATTGAGCCCTCAAGGATGTTGTTTACCCCCTGACGATAATATAATAAAGTATTGCCGAAGCCGTCATTAACCCTATATGCCCAGGGAATCCAAGAATTGCTTTAACTCGAAAAATTCTTAAATCGAACCCAACCGTCTTCAGTATGGTCTTGTTATATTAGACTGACTCACATTTATATGGGAGATATTTTTATCATTTTTTCTATGGGTGCCGAGTTGTGTCATTAGGTGAGAAAACCACTCTCTGAACAATTTTATTTATAGCGAATTCGTTTATTATTCAGTTCCAACCTGGATCGGGTATCAAGATTGGGTCTGCTTGTTTTCTGACAAACGTCAGTTTGCTCGTTTGTTTTTAAAACGTAGCTCAGGTTGAGGTTCACACTGACAAAAAGTTCGGTTCCAAACGGAGTTGGAACTGGTGTTAACCTCGATAATAAACTAATTCGCTATTAGATAGATAAATGAAAGTAGCGCTGTCATGAAAATCACGAAAAACATCAAATCCCAACATACAATTTTAGCTGTAGACTAGCTTATACAGTTAAAAATTAGCTAAAATTGTTAGTTGGGATGCTCCCTTAGATTTCAGTTTTCTCTTCATAATATTTCATAGTATTTTTCAATGGGCCTGAACTGGGCACAATTGGGCGGATTGAGAGTTTTTGGAATAAACTGGATTCCGTTGTGATTGTACCATTGTTGAACTTCCCGCCTGTAGTACCAAAATGTCACCGGACTGGACTGGATGAAGGACAGAATTCACTTCTGAAGGCATTCGGTTTTGTTATCATACAGCTTTCAAACACGGGTTCTATATAGCTACGATTTGGCTACGGCTTGAGTGGTCGACTTTGTTGCTTACTGGCGCGGTATGCCTGTAAGCCTTCGCAGTAGTGAATTCGCTACACAGTACTACGGGCGGCATAATACTTTTTACTCAAATCGCGATCGGACCTACCTGTGTTGTTTCTGATGGCCCTCACGACCTTTCGATGAAACTGACGGTTGGTAGTTCCACTCCAGCGTTTACTATGAGGCTTCCAATTCGTCGTCAAGGTTTCCCTATATGTTTCGAGCACGCGCCAACACTTTAGCCAGCTTGGACGCGGACCACGATGGATTTTCCAGGTGACTGCGCACGATTTTTTTTCTACGCTCGTCTTGCATGGTGACTGTTTCCCAAAAACAATAGCGTTTTATGAACTGAAAAAAATACACTGTTATTGTTGTTGTCAACCAGCGTTGCCAGGTCATTTTCAGGAAAATCTGGGCCAGTTAAAATATAAAATCTGGAAAAATCTGGAATGCCTTAAAAATCCAGTTTTTAACATAATGCTATTGAAATCAAAGTGATATACCAATCTCCCGTAAAAATCGGTCAGTATGATCATCTGGAATTTATTTAAAGTATTAGAATGTTTATGAATTAGTGAATATTTAACAGTAGACAACGGACAACACACCACACCCAGTAGGCCAGCTCACTTCGTGGCACTTACAATACGCCTAAACGACGGGTGAAGTCGCACGACCACCAAGCCCACAAAGATGGATGGAACTCTACTCAGAATTAGCTTTAAATTCTCGTTTGATTTTACAAGGAATTCACCTTACACTTCACTGTGAACTATTTTCAGAATTATGCTAAAATTCCAATAATGTCCAGTGATATTTTTAAAGCAACATGTTTAAAAAATTTGGGAAAATCTGGAACATATTTAAAAAATCTGGAAATGTACGTGGTCTAGCTGTGTATCTGGCAAGACGACTAAAAATCTGGTAAATCCAGATAAATCTGGAATACTGGCAACGCTGTTGTCAACAGATATATGTCAAATGCTTCTGAAAATGACCACTCAGAGCGCTGTTACAAGCCAAAGAGTTTGTTCAAATCGGTAGAGGTCAATTTCACTTGCCTCGGACACTTGGCGCGGAATGACGCTTATTTGACATAATTCAAGATACCGTTCCGACTAAGACTCTTATGCTCTCTGTAAATTTCCACTAACGTAATATGCGTAATCGTCTGCGGAAGGCTCGAAAACGTTACTTTCGCTCAAAGGCTGCTGCAAAAAGGTCTGCCGTACAGTAAGCAGAAGCCAAGTTAGATGGTTTACATGAAGTTCGCTTTCGAGAGTACATGTAGAATAGATTCAAGGAAAATCCATCATCTTTCTGGACTTTTATAAACTCTCGGAAAGGTTCAGCTATTCCAGACAAAGCTCCTTCGATGCTGCTACTTCTGCAAACCTTATCGCTGACTTCTTCCGAACCGTCTACGAAGTCGATCAGGCTTCACTTCCGCATGTCCGGATCGTATTCCACCTTCATTCATCAAGAATTGTGCAGCATCGGTGGCCGGTCCCGTAATGTCTATCTTAAACCGGTCACTTCTAGTAGGCGTTTTCCCTGACAGCTGGAAGCTTGCGTCAATTACTTCAATCTTCAAGTTAGTTAGGGTAGTTGGTGAATGTTCTGGTTAGTCTTCTGCATGAAAAGTTTTTCTCAGCTGACCAATCTATAATCTCTGAGTTCCACGATAGATTTAAGAAGAAACGCTCTACAATTACCAATTTGATGACCTACACTAACACTGTGATTGGTAGCATCAAAAAGCGTTCAAAAAGTTATGCACTGTATATTGACTTCTTTAAGGCTTTTGATAAAGTTCCCCACAATCTTGCTTGTTATGAAGTTGAGCCGTCTTGGTCTACCTCCATGGATCGTTCACTGATTGGAATCTTACTTATCATCCAGGAAGGCCTACGTAAACGTTCATGATGCTATATCCGATACATTCAGTATAGCATCAGGTGCTCCTCAAGGGAGTCACCTGGGACCTCTCATATTCATTTTGTTCATAAGCGACGTGTGTCCCGAGCAAAGTTTAATAACAAGCGCATAACATCACAATAACTCATTTTGTTAACTAGAATTAATGTTGTTTTTCTCTGTTATCAACTAATCGTTTTGAGCGATAACTTGTTTTGTTATCTGTTGTTATCATGAAGAAAAGTCACCCTTGACATTTTATTTATTTTGTATATTTTGATTATAAAGGTAATTGCCACATACTTAATTTATTTGCGTATTTGGCTTGCAAGCTGAAATGTAATTTACATTGGTATTTCCATTTAAAACTGACACACTAACACAAGGTCGAATGTGATGTTGAACTTCTTTTAGATAATACTCAGAGCTATTTTTATAGGAGTACATGTTGTTATAAATTTCAGTTGTGATCAATTTCCTGCCAATTATATAAATTCTATCGTTTCTATCAACTAACGCATGTTCAACATGGTAGAAACCAGCTCCAATTTGTATAAAGGAATCGTTGTAGCCTAGCGTTTTACATCTTTCTCTGGTACAATATTGAACACCATCGTAGGTGAATTTTTCATAGCGGGTGAATTCTTGCTCTGAAAGTCCTTCGTCAATGTGTAACGAATCGGGTAGATCAAAAATTAATGCACGGTCAAATTTTAAGCGGTGTATCGGTTTGGAGCTCCATAGTTGAGAATGCCACTTACTGATCAAATCATTTTTCAAAAAAGATGCGGTCTGGCAAATGCGATTTAACATAAACTTACTTGCAATTTGAACGACTGGTCGATTGTTTCCGGTTCTGAACCCCAAAATCATCCCATTTCCATTTTCATATGGATAGAGTGACGAGTTCCACAATGCCCCGAAATTCTTGGCACTGTCAGATAAGTGGATTAACAGATGGATGTTAAAATACATATGCTCTTCTCCATATAACTTTTGGAACTTACGAACGAAATCTTTCAGTTGCTTATCAACAAAGTCAATGGTTTTTTCCGTCAAATGCGTATCAAGTAGTTGAAAAATACATGATGAAAGTACCATGAAGTGATCCAGATATTTCTTCGGCAGGATTCCAACAACACATGGGTAAAAATAATGGAAAAGCATGTTCTCCCAATCACTTGCCTTATTTTTTTTCATATCCTCGATTTTTCCCGGGTACCGAGAAAATAAGCTTGGTGTTCTGATGGTCAGCATTCTTCTTTCAACTTCATACATCTTCTTACCAATGTAATAAGGCTTAGTGTGATTTGATGAGGCTGTAAACAATTCCCATAAATGTTTGACAACGCCGAGTAGAACAGAATGCATATAATCCGGTGAGAAACCTTAAAGTTCAAAAATAAATTAACTTACTCATAGCTACTAAATCAGTATACTACCATTCACAATGTCGAAATGTGGGATTGACAGAAATACCGACAGCCCCTTGATTCCTTTAACAGGCTTCCCAGTATGATGTGCCTCTATCATAAGACTACGAGTCTCACAATGGTTCCTGTTATCACATGCCTTAAATGGGTATCGAATTTGGTTACCATTTACAAGTTTACCCTCATGATAGCAAACAGAACAACCAAATTTTCCATTGAATTGGGTAGAGTTTTGAAGTTTTGGTCTTGCAACGGAATCCAAGCAGTTCTGTATGACTAACACATGGTATACATCAGACTCAATAGTGAACGAGTTGCTCAGTTTCGTCATTTCTTCACAAAACTCTTGGAAGAAAAGTGGAATATTCGGTTCACCCTTATTCAACCAGATGGCGGCCAATAATAAGTTGTTCTTATCGAAGCGAATACGAGGTGGTAAATTGTTAATGACGACAAAGATGGGGTAACATGGCTTGTTGATACTCCAGCGGTATGCTGCTGCACCATCTGTGTTCACTGACAAAGTTATTGTCTTTCCTTTGATTTTTTTATGGATCTCCTTCACTACTTTGCCTTGATTGATATCGCTTATGCCTTCCTTTTCAACAAGTTTTTCGTAATCTGATATTTCTTTGCGATATTTGATCATAGTTTCTCTCAATTGTTGCTCAATTGGAATGGTAATAAAGAAATCAAACTTATTACTTTCACACTCGGGAATTGAACAGACAGCATCTTTGGCTGGTACCGATTTTCCAATTCCTTGTTGGCATTCAGTACAATAATATACTCTGGAATATTCGTACGGGTAAGGAAAAGAGGCGTTAAATGCTTCAAAGCACTCCGGGAATATTTTATAGCCTGCCATCAGGTTTATCATTTTAAGCAGATCTACCAAAGCTGTTTGCGTTAGGTGATGCTTAATATAATAATTTAGAATCATGAAACGTGCTTCTCCTATTGTGAGAACAGAATCAAATTTAATATTGTTGCTTCCGTCAAAAAACGCCTATAAATAAATAAACGTGCAGTAAATTAAAGTTTTTCGTAACTCTACAGCTATGACCCTACCTTACTGTTAAAGCATTCCGATTGATTTTCACCTGAGCGATGCTCGTCGGAATTGTAGTTCTGATTTAAATCATTGAAAACATCAGATGACTCTGAACCTGACTCAGAAAAACTTTCTGAACAGTCTTCTTTGTTGTCGTCAAGAACATTCTGCACACTCAATGTCTCTGAAGATTCTGAATCAATAGAATTTGAGTTATCGTCTGCATTGAATCTCAAGGCACTGTTTTCACGATCACAATGATAAATTTCATTTGCCGAATCAAGACCTATATGAGCAGAATCGTTGGAATGCACTGTTTCTGATTGTACGCCATTACTGAACTCATGTTGTAATATAAATTCTGTTTTTGGTTTATTTCTCTGAAATAAAAAAAAAACAAACTTATTTATATTTCAAGCTTTGCTTAATGCAATAACCTTCTGTAAATATTTCTTGTTCTGAAGCTTAGTGGACATAAAATAATGTCGTTTATTACGCCGATTGTCCATTGTTGTGGGAATCTAGCTTATCGGACTATTGAACACAAAAATGACCAACTAGAATAACACACATTGAAATATAATACAAATTGTCTTGTAAAAATGGCATGAATTTTTCATAAGGGCCTAACAATGTTTCTTAATAAATTTCCCATGCATGGAAAATGATTGCTAACATTAAAAAATAGATGCACGATAAATTGGCAGAAGAAGTCAGTGTAAATGTCTGTGACTCCTCATAAGTTTAATAGATTATTGGTGTTTTTGAAATATCTCAATATGTGAATGTGTTAAAGTGTCTTAGGCCCTGATGAAAAATTCAACCGTAACTCAATAAACTGGATAAAACAGGCGAAACAGTAGTTAAAATAGTGTGAGTAACACTCCGTATATGTTGCCCATGCAAACAGTGACGTCACTGCGCGCGTTTCAAATTTTTCGGTTCACTAATACATAGATATTTGGCTATCTGCTATCCCTATACCTCATTGATGAATGATTCTTGGTTATCAAATGTCATTGTCTGTTCGCTTTCCGTCGGGAACTTGTGAGTTGTTGGTGCTGTCGTCGCGAAATTTTTGTTGTTTTATTTGCTGTGCGTTGTTTAAAAAACTCGGGTGTGAATCGTTGGTATACATAAAATGGGTCGTAAACGGTTGAATGTTGCCAAAAAACGCGTGCTTAAGCAGGCCGCGAACAAAAATCTTAGTTTTGTTGTGCAGTCACTTCCAGAATTGAAGGTAATTATAACCTCACATGATTAGCGCATCTGATATCATCAAATCAAGTAAAAAGCTGTTTGATTTACATGTTGCCATTTTTCCCATTGATAAATGTATCAAATAAATCCACTGCATTGATTAAACTGATACTTGCCGAGTTTTCAGGCACAATTTGAAAAAATGCTACTGACATTTGGTCGTTCAACCGAATCCAATTACATAACCTATATTATTTTCATTGCAGCAAGAACTGTTGGAAAACCCAGCACAACGAAAAGGAAAGAATGCAAAAAGTGAGAAACCAATTGACCTGCAGTGGGAGCCATCAAGCTCAGAAATGATAATGGTTCCAGAATACAATTTTGAGAGTAACGTCGGTGCAGAAGAGATTGACATGGTTGAACCGACGTCGTCGGCACCACCCCCGCAGGCCACACGCACATACAGCCGCAAAAAATCTATTGAGCAACTGCTCCAGGAGTGGGAAACTGTCCCATGTGCATCAAACAACGGTATTCCTGAAAACTCAATTCAAATCGTACACGTTGAGCAACTCTACGATAAGGGAAATGGAGCTTGTGGATCGTCGCCAGAAGTTGTTATTGTGAATACTCAATCAGGTATGATGTTTTTTGTTGAATCAAAGAAGATAGTATATTTTTGGTGTTTTTTATGTTGTAGAATGCTCGTGTGGGAAGTTGGATGAGGTTGAGAACTATAAGAAATTATCGGAGTCCCTGCAGAAGGAGAAGGATGCTTTGCTGTTGAGAAATGCACAACTGGAAGCCCAGAACGCAAAGCTGCTGGATTCTTTGACTTCGAAACTTCTGCCAACACCTGAGAAGCCATTCAAGGAAGAGGAAGGATTCCTAGATTGTGAAACGCTACAGCGGTTGTCTCACGAAGCAGGCGACAAGGATTATTTGTTTGTGAAGTTTCTGATGATGCAGCTTTTCCCGGATGGTTTTGTTGGACGTTCGGTGACAGGCCGTCGATCGAACAATCCATCCGGTCGCCCAAAGAAGAAGGATGCAGTTTGTCCAGTTGAAAATACACATGATACAGGTGATGGTGAAGCAACGGGTGACGAAACTGAAGGAGAAACTGCAAAAGTGCCGTTGGACCCAGTAAAAGTGCGATGGATAAAAAGTATGAATACATGATGCATGTTTAGATTGTTGTAACTAATTTGATTTAAATCTTACAGGACGCCTTTACGATCGTCGCATTTTTCTTCGTGATGACTCTGCTACTGCAAATACATGCTACAAAAATGCAGGACGTCTGATGACACGAGTGATTGCCAATGCTTCGCGATAAGCACATGGAGAGGCATTTCATGGTTTATTTTTATTTTGTTTTTTATTTTTATGGGAACAATTTTAGCTTGTTACAATCAGTTTTATCACAGAGCAGCGTCAAATCAAATTGAAAAAGTCGTAGCATTTTTCCATTTGTTACTTAATTTTTTGAAGATCTGAATGTATCATTCGAGTTAGATTTGTTTTTTGTAAAGACATCTTTGAAAGACCAATAAAGTAATGAAAACTAACAATCAAATGTTATTCCAATAAACTGAAATTTAAAATAGGTCGAAATTATTATGTATAAATTATGGCTAAAAAAACAGCATGATAACTCATTTTGTTATCTTATACCTGTTATCAATGTTCAGCAATGATATCTGGTTCATAGCTTAATGAGTTATTATTATAATAAATTTACGTTACAGGATTAGTTATCAAGCTGTTTATTATGATAGCACAATCAGTTTTTTCAATGTTATCTATGGATCAAATTTTAGTTATCAATTATGTTTTGTTGCCTGTTTACTCAACCAAACTGAAATCAAACCTAGTTATCAATGGATTGATAACCAGGTAACAAAACGTGTTATCAATATGTTAGCAAACTTTGCTCGGGGTGACCTCCTAAGCTCCTGTAATCTGTTATATGCAGATTTAAAACTTTGCCGTGAGATTAAGTCACACTTCAAACCTAAATCGAGCTACTGACATTGTGCTATCAAACGAATGGAATGGTAGCAAACACAGCCAAGTGCAAATTAAGTACCTTTAGCCGTGGTCAATCACCGATAAGATTCGAGTACTCGATGAATCATTCGCCGCTAACAGAGTAGACACTTAAAATCAAAATCTGTCCTCGGTGAAATCAACAATCAGTATCAACAACAGTAAACTGAAAATTTGTCGATGTTTCGTTCTACATATAAGGGGATGTTCATAAACTACGTAGACTGGCAATCATCCAAGGCCCATATAATTTTTTTTTTGAATGCGCAATTGTCTACGCAGGGGGACGGGGGTCAAGATACCAAAAAACTGTCTACGTAGTTAATGAACAGCCCCGAACAGTTACCGACATTCGAATCTGGTTTGAGCAAAATTTCGGGAAAACAATCATTTAACAAGCTTTATCACTGATCTAATTGGAAAAATCTTAAACTGTCGAAATCAGCAACAAAATTTATCGAACATCACGGTATTCTCATTTTACTTTGCCGAGAATACTTAAAATATCTGTCAAAACGAAGACATTCCAATCATTCGTTTTGCCGAGAATACGTAAAATAACTGTCAGAATGAAAACAACAACTCTGTTAGGTGCGCATGGAAGGTGAAAGTGGTAGCCAATCAACCTGGTCTATCCAAGGAATAGAGATGAGATGTGAGGGCTAATATGTGTTAGTTGAGGGATAAAGGTGACCAAAGCGGGAGAGGATGGTCACGACGTTATAACACTCGAAAGTAGTGAAGACTCGACTGTCGACAGAAGCAGGTCACTCTCGATGTGTGTTACGCGATCGTCTGTTTACTCGGCAGCAACCATATTGTGTGGTCCTCCTCATTGTTCTTCATCAGCAGTTCTTTCGGTCGATGCGTTATTGGATGCGTTGGAAAGCAACCGTTTAGTGACGAGTGTGTGAGTGCTGACTACGTTTGCGTCCAGCATTGCTGCAATGGAAGCGCTCTGCCCCCCGTTGGCGATACTGCCATACTATGACACCGCTTGGAGCGGCTTTTTGGATATCGGACGATAAAGTGTTTATTGTGTTGTACCTTTTGACTATAGCTTTAAGATGTTTTGTATAGCGAACAAGAATCCTCGGATCTGTAAAGTTAATTCGGTTGAGCCTTATCAAATAAATTAATGAACAAAACATAACACTCGAAAGCAAATTTGGGAAATATGAAGAACAGTAAAATGTTTGCATTATGATTGCGCTTGATTGTATTACTTTGTAAAGTCTTTGGGAAATATCAGCGTATGCAGTTTTTTGGTTTTTTTATGAAAACGCCTTTCTTGAAAACTGGCAAAAACTCACCGGAAAGCTACATTTTCATAGTATACTGCGCAATAATACGATAATCAATCAATTATCTCAACATTCAGTTCAAGAACATTAATAAATTTTGGTTTCATATAGAAATTCTAGAATCCATATTAACTTTCCTATCCAATAGGCTGATCGAAACAAACGTTATGACGAGCGTGTTTAAGGTGGACCCTACACGATTGCTTTTATTGTCAATATTCGTATTGTCAATACATTTATATTGACGTCAATACATCGATATTGACAATATTTTTGTGTTCACATCATCAATATTATTGTCAATAATTCCCCTTCAAGTAAATATAATGATACGTGTGGGGTTCGCTTAAGGGCTGTCATCGATCGCGCAATATCAAACGAAGTAAATTTATATTGTAAACTGGTAAACATTATTATTTATAACAAAATAATCTTCTTGATAACAACTTAAACATAGTTGCACTTGTATCCACATCAATGAACGGAAGCGTTGACTGCATCCTGCACAGCCCAGCTCGGGAAGGTATTGATCTCCGGGTACACGACAGATCCCCACGTAGGGAACCCAAGCCACATTACTACCAAGGTGATAAGTGTTGGCCCGATCCCGGCCAATGCCATATCTTTGGTGGCAATGCGTCCAACTCCGGCTACGATGGCATTCGGGGGAGTTCCTACTGGCATATGGAAAGCAAAACTGCAAGACATCGCCGCCGGAAGCATCAGGTACAGTGGATGAGTTTTGATTACGATTGCCTGTTGACAGAAAAATGTATCAGATTATTTGAAATTAAGAACGGGGAAATAGATTGCACTAACCATTTCGGCTAAGACCGGAATTAAAATATTGCAAATAGCAACATTTGATGTGAATTCGGTGAATGCTTGGGCTGCCAGACAAACAACGAGCAGCAATGCCAAGGGTGGAAGACTCTGCAGACCGGACAGCGACTTTCCTAAGAGAGCTGACATACCGGAAACCTTTCCACCTTCGGCTAGGGCGAATCCACCCCCGAGAAGGAATATGAGGCTCCAGTGTACCTTCTGGTTCAGGTACTTCCACGTGATGAGCGCCGAGGTTGGTTCTTTAGGGAGGGCACCTGTTGGAAAAGACAATAAATTCGATTATCATGAACATTTTGAAAAGAACTCATGTTCTTTTTTTCGAGTTTTAAAAGTTTGCATAGTTTTGAGAATGCTGTTGTTTGAAGAACTTTCAGAGGTTCTAAGACATGGTTGGAGATAAGGGTTCCAAAAGATCTCGTAATTCAGGGTGTCCCAAAAATTGATGGTTAAAGTATTAAAATTTCCATATTGAACAGATACATCGTAATCACGCGTTTTAGGAACACTCTTAGACTTCCCCTACTCGACGGTTATGTCTGTTTGCGTGGGCGTGCCTTGAATTCCTGGAAATCATCTAGAGGAGTCATGCTGTTATGACCTAATTACAACTCTATCTAGAATTGATCACTAGGGGCATTGATCCAAGTTTGTTCCGGGACTAGGTCATTTTGACTCACGCCTAATTTTTCAAAAATTAATTAAAATGAATTAAATTTTATAATGTTATTTTCACGTCGCATTTAGACGTCATCTTTATCTAACGTCTACAGGGTAAGGTGGGGCAAGATAGGTCACAGGGCTATATGGATCAGCTATTTCATTTAATAATTTGTGTGCTTGTCAATATCAACAGGTTCAATGCAACCCTAGTGATGGTTTACTTTTTCAAACCAGCATTGGGGCTACAATATTCATGTTAATGTTGGCAAACATTAATATAAATAAATCAAGCTCCACCTTACCTTATTTGTATGAATTGAAAATTTCAAAAGATCTCATTTTTTTAGCATTGATCATTGGTCGGAAATCTTTTGCTTGAATCTGTCAAGAAAATTGCGGTTCATTACATGATTCCGGAGATATTCAGATATCCGTTGGGGTCTCTCTGGCTCGGTATTCGGCTTGACTGTTCCCTTGACTGAGACCCCAATTAAGCTGTTACCTGTTGCAATAATTTATTGGTAATGGGTTTAGATCTGCATTGAACTGTTTTCTGTCATGTTTACGCTTAGTGAATTTTCAAACCAAGTGTTTTTTCAATACACTGTGACTATAATGTCGTTTAATTTGATTTTAGTAAGCCAAAACTGGAAACCAGAAGAAGATAAGTTCTACAAACTAATTATTGGCATGTTGAATAAACCCCAGTAGTATTGCTAAATTTATCAAGGTTTTGAAGCATTCTATAAGTCCAAATCGTGGACAACAAGGCTGTGATAAAACCAAAATTGCTATTTGGAAAATTGGTTCCTCGCGATATTTGTTTTAATTGTGACACCAACTGATCAAGATAAATTAAAATGAGTGACAAATATTTAAGTGGAAGGATTCTATGAGCCAGACTTAATTGATTACTGATTATGAATCATTGAGTACGAAATATTGATGAACATTTATATCAACACTTGTATTAACAAATTCGCAAATGTGAGGAGTCGTAAACAGATTTAGTTTATTCAATTTAAATGCGTGTTAAAATAAACTTAAACTATAAAGGATTGTTGCAAGTACGCTACCAGTTTTTTATGGAATCGATCAGAAAAGTATTACAACACTCATTTGAATATTACATCAACTTGAAAAGTTTTTCATTACCTAAAAGAAAGTTACATCTATGATGCAATATCACGAAATCCAAATTATTTGCAAAGGTTATGATTCAATCAAAGATTTTCAGAAGACCAAGGGCGTCTGAAAGAGAGACAGTTTAGTTAGGAATTCAGTCGCTACATGGCGCTAGTGTGCATGAAAAATAAAGCATTTTTGGATTTGTTTTATCTCGTGATCCCGATCACCTCGGAAGTTCGAGTTTTGACCATTAAAGTAGTATAGAAAACCAATCGTCGCTACGTGGTGCTTGTGTGAATGTATAATTGATTACGAACTTTCAGAAATGATTAAAACTTTTCTAAAGTGATTTGGAATTTTTCGGAATGATTCAGTTCTTGTGGAAGTAATTTCAATATTTTATTAATTGAATCAGTACTTCCCGGAGCAGCTCCGGACTTTACTGGAGTGATTCCGAACTTTCCAGAAATTATTCAATTTCATTTTCAAGAAATGATTCAGTATTTCCGGAAGTGATAACACACTTTTTTTGAATGATTAAAAGTGATTCCATAACTTCTAAAGCCATTCAGTGCTTTACGAAGTGATTCCGAACTTTTCTGAAGTGATTCAGTACTTTTTTAAGTGATTCCAAGCTTGTATGGAGCCATTCAGTACACGCAAACCAAAAATCTATTACAATGAATTTTAGTTCCATTTCCTATCATCCTCTGTTCATGAACATCGCAACGAATGTTAGAAGTTGACCTTGCAGGCGATGTAATGGTTTTTTGCCTTTTTTATTTCGTGTTCTGTCTGTGCTTTCACCTACACAAGCAAGCATTTGCCTTGATTTCTATGTATAACATGGTACAACGACGCACACCCTTGCCTCGAATCTCTCCAGCAGAAAAAGCATACGAAGTCGAGTGTGAGAGGAAATGAGCGCTTCTTGTTTGCTTTTAGGCTATCCTTATTTAGAAGCATGGAGAGAGCAGTGCAGAAAGCACAGGTCTGATAATCGCAACGTTCGTGGTTCTTCGAGTCCAGTCGGCAATCTGTTTTCTATTTTTTTTTCGACATTTCTTGCATTGGACCGCAGCTAGGTATATCGCATGTGGTCTCCATGCGGTCTCCACCTACATCCTCTGATGATGAATCCCACATAATTGTAAGCGAATCTTACATATACCGGTTGGGTGTACTTTTCGAAGAGTTTCTGATTTTTTTTTTTTCTGAAGAGATTCAAGACATTCTGAAATTATTCCAAACTTTTCTATTTTTGAAAAGATTCAGTACTTGCAGAAATGATTCAATACTTGTAGAAATGATTTCAAACTTTTATAAATTGATTAAGTGCTTTCCGGAGTAATTACAAAATTTTATGAAGTAATTCAGTACCTTCTGAAATGATTCCAACCTTTTCTGAAGTTATTCAGTTCTTTCTGAAGTATTTCCAAACTCTTCTTTAATGAATTGGCCCTTTCCAAAGTGATGCAGTACTTGCGGAAGTGATAACAAACTCTTTAGTGATAACAACCAACTTTTCTGAAGTGATTAAGAACATTTTGAAGTTATTCAAAACTTTTATTAATTGATTAGTTTCTATTCGAAGTGAATCAGTACTTGCGGAAGTGATTTCAAGATCTTCAGAAAGTTCTGCAATAATTCCAATATTTTCAGAAGTTGTTCAGTACTTTCCGAAGTGGCTCGGAACATTTCTAAAGAGATTAAATACTTTCCCAAGCGATTCCATACTTATGACTGGTAATTTTTTTCAAAAAACACCTAACTTTTCAAGTCTTGTTCACTTAATATTCAAGTGATTCCAAATTGTTCAGTTCAAATTAAGTTCATATTCCAGTGATTCCAAGCAGAAATCACAGCATATCTGTGAAAAATTACAGGAAAATTGGGAAAAATCACAGAACTTTTCTGTAATTTTGACAGATATCTTTTTTGAAACTTCGCAGATTGTTCGGTGCAAGTGCGTTCCGAATCGTTTATATTCACGTTTGTTTAATACCTTTTCTAGTGTTTCTTTATCTATAATTAATTTGTTTAATTTAAACAGATATTTGAAATCCACTACAGGGCAGTTCAGCTTCGAACCTGTTCGGATACGGTTGTGTATAAGTTTGTTTCTGTTTTGTGCGTGCGTTCGCTGATTTTGCCAGATTAGCGCTGGCACTCTGCCTCCCGGACGGTTATATGTGTGTGATTGGTGGTTTTCTCGCTTTCCGAGAAGTTTTGGAATCGAAAAAGAAAACGTGTTGCATCATGTTTGCGTCGCTATCTGCGTTGTTTGTTTTTTTTCTTCGTTTGTGTTCCCGGTACAGAAATTTGTGGCGTCGCGTGTGATAGTTTTTGATTTCAGTTTGTTTACGCGTTGTATGATTTTGTGAGCGGTCGCTTCGTGTTCGCGTCATGGAGCAATCGACTACATTCGACCAGAGGATTGATCCCCGTTGGGCGGGTCTATGATCGGAGCTACTACACCAAGCAGCTGCTTGCAAGGGATTCAGTTGGACTGATTTGGTGAGATTGTTCCTTTTTTCTACTTTTGTCTATTTAAACTTAATTTCTATGAATGCGTATCGTTTGGAATCATTTGATTCGGATGAGACTCTTAACTTTTATTTGTTTACATTGTGTTTCAATCGGTATTCTTAAGAACTTCACAAAATAAGGTTTCAATATTTAAATTGAGCAGCTCGACTAGCCTGGTGGCTGCCGCTTTTGCTTACTGAGTAGAAGACCGTGGGGGATCGACATTGTAAAGATTCCCTATTTTCAGCTTTTTACAGACTGGAGTTGTTGTTTGAACCATTTAGTTTATCAATTTAATTTATCTGTATAACAATTATTCACAAGCATTTTTCCAGGCCAATTCAAGAATAGTTTGATGATGATAAATCTTCCTAATATTCACATTACAGTTATGACCCGATCCTGTCAATCTATCCGCGCATCAGACTGTTATTTTTCAATAATTCCACATAATTGTAATTTCATACCTTCCTCCTTCAAGATGAATGTTTAAGGTACACATACTTTGCTAGCTGACAAAATGGGGTCATTGCTGTATAATTATTCTCTTTTTGCAGCCTTCATTCAGACTGGATCTATTGATTTAAATTATTTAAGTTTCTTCCAGCTCTTTGATGACGGAACATCATTAGATTTATACTGTAATGATTCACTCTTACAGCTTTCACCCTGGTTTTGTCTGATTTGATTTGTTTAAATTGGTTTTCAGCTCTTTGGTGTTGGCAGTCGCGGGCGATCAATTTTGCTCATGCTCATGTTCTAAGTTTATTTTTAGCATTTCGATGATGGAACGTCTTCAGATTTATATTATAATGGGGCTTATAAGGGTGTCGCATCGGTCGCATCACGGTGAAAAGTTGTCACTTGTCGTCACGGTGAAGTGATTCCCATTTGATTTGTACGGTAATCACGGCTCTTATTCTGAGTATCACTTGCT